CGCATTTTAAAAAATGTTTATATTTTTCAATTCCCTTAGTTTGTAAACAGCATTCGTGTAGCTTCACATTCGATTAGAAAGTAATGTATCGATTCACAAATAGTAATCAATTAAAAAGTAAGATATCGTCAAGCAACTGCAAGAAGTGTATCGATAATATCAATAAGAAGAATTGATTATAAAAGAGCCGAAGAAAATTAATAAAACCTATGTATAAATATAATTAATTTGCGACTTTACATAAAACCGATATTTATCCTTTTCGGGAATTGAAAATGTGAGTAACAAAAAACATTCTTTAAAAAGGATATTTCAATTTTTTATCTCAATTTTAATTTATTTATAGAAGAGAAGGCTAACAAATAATAATCGACATTATTTCAATATTAATTGAAGAAAACACTTGTCTAAATAAACTCTAAGCCGAAATGATTTAGTTGGGTATTTCTATTCAGAGAAATTAAAATCATCCATTTCGAAATTCAATGAAATTTTTCAAAATCGGTAAAGCCTCATGATTGGAATTTTACAAATGCTATGACTTTCTCAAATTGAATTTAATTATTATTATTTTAACTTTAAAATTAGATCCGTAAACAAATTAATTTTGTGTCATTTGCTTGAAAAAGCTCGATAAAACTTGAACTTGATGAACTTGATGTTTTATATTTAGGCGTTTCTGTCATTCCAAAGCTATTTGCAGCACAAACCCCCCTCTCAGGCCTTAAAAATCTCTCATTTCAGTGCAATGCAATTTTGTTCGATTTGTGATTAGACAAGAAATATTTTTATGATATTCTAATCGGTTAAATCGGCTCATAAGAAATGAAAAACAATTATAAACACCTGGGAGTTGTATAGAAGAAATTATGTAACTAGCTTAACATATTTATTCCTCCCTAGCATTAATTAACGAACTGTCTGAATTCATATACGAGTATTAGTTATAAGCAATGTAGTGGCTATGAATAATTTCCATAGTGACTATCTTTGGGCGATAAGATTAGCAATACGCTAGTCAATTGCGTTAGTCATACCGAAACACTAAAACCCCATCAGGTTGGCTTATTTGGCTTTGGCGTGGCCTTTCCTCTATACATAGAAATATATGAAATACATGAGCGTCACAAATACAACGCTTCGAACAAACAATGTGTAAGCATATGGTCATAAATTTTGTAATACCTCGAGTAATATAAAATCAATATTTATGTTCACTGAGAATCTGGTTTCAAAAACATAATGAGGAACTGAAAGCGAGTTTATTGTAGAAAATTAACTTAAAATTCTCTGGAATATATTATTTTTATGATCGCTGGTCTTTATTCACGATGCCTCAATAAAATAAAAGGGAGAACTACATTTTTGGTCTAAGTAACTCTGGAGTATTTAAAATAAGTATCTCCAGTGTAGAGTCGAGTGTCGAAGAAAAATTGAAAATTCCAATTTCGAAAATGAAGATCTGTTTCTAATTTCTTTCTCAAATCGAAATTGCAAAGAAATTGTAGTCATCTGGATTAAACGCTATTATTTCAATATGAAGCATTACTAAAACAGAGTTATTTGTTTCCAGTAGCATTAATACCTTATATTCATTTAAATTCCAAATCACAAAATATATATGCAAAAACAAAATAACATTTTTTGTTGTTCTTGGATATTTTAATCCATTTTATAGTAAAGATATGTATTTTTAAAATCAAACCTTATAATACAATTTCCTTTCTGTGTGAGTGTAAATATTTCAACGTTTTCAAAACATTATTCTAATGTGCAAGAAAATCTTTTTAAACTACCTTGTTTTTCATTACAAATCATAGCTTTGTGTCTTCAAATTTCTATTGTTAAAAAGAGGAATTGTGTCCCATTTCTAGTCGGGTAAGGGTTATAGAAACGTTTTGTAATCAATATTTAAAATTTGTTTTAAATTTATTATTTTTTTATTTTTTCATTTATTTAAATTTGCAAGTCATATTTCTAAAAAAAAAAAACCTTAAGAATATATTGACAAATATAGTATTTTACATATAATGTGATAGTGTTTCATTTTTAATGCGCTCTCACCGCCTATTAGACACATATGTATGTATAATTCATATGCCCTTTAATACTTGCTGGTTAATTATTTGAATACGTTGATTTAGGTTTCATCACAAAACAATATTGACAGGCTAAAAGGCCCAACACTCTAATCGCACCCTTAACCCCACAACAACACATTCTGAAAACAATTGACACATGCCATGAATATTTCAGGCGCATTCGTGTTTCTGTCCTTCTGCGGTTATCCTTGAGGCTATAATTTAGTATCAATCAATAGGCAATTGCCTCAATAGTATAAGTACTTAATAGAAATAATTTCAATGGCGTCATTAAAATCGTTAAAATTCTAGCTGAGGACATTCGTGAGCGTGCATTGTTTCCCATTTTCGATTCTACAATTATAGGTATAGTAAGGTAACCAGAAATGCTGTCCGAGCTTCTTCACAAACTTTAAATGCGAAATATATTAAACTAGTTTTCAAAATTCCAGGGTAGAATCTGGGAAAAGGGGAAGACATTTTGAGAAATAAAACTGTTTGATATCTGAACAAAAAACTATTCAGAAACTTTTCAGTTGGCTGCAGCAAATGATTTTAAAGACTAATATCCATTGAAAAAGTTAGTTTTAAATTATTTTATAGACCGAGAAATGCTTTCCTGCTTAAATGGTAAAAATATTATCCTAAAATAGTTCAAATATTCATAAAGTATGTACATACATGCTCATTTTTTTATTCTGATATTATTAATAAATTTTAGCAACATATGAAGAAATAAAATCGATCAAAAAATTGGGGTATCCCTCAAAGTTCGAGCATATCTTATCTCTGAAACTTCTTTATATCTTCTGTGTGTTTTAAGATCAATAAACTAGAACATTCATACTCGCATGATAAATAACCGGAATGGAATGTACAGAGCTATGTAACTATATCCGCTGATATGAAAAACGAATTGAAAAAATGTGTCTGTTCTTTCTTTCACATGTTGGGGCAACAGCCGATCCATCTAAAGCTATAGCCGATAGACAGACTATGCAGCCAGCAGTGGGCGGCCAAATGTTTTAACAGTTGCATTTTAGCCGTCCACGCGCCATTTGTTTATAACCGAACACACACACACACACACACACACACACAGATAAAGAGACATTGCTATGTATGTAGAAATAGACAGACATGCACAGTAAATGTGAGCATTGAGGTCAATTTGAATGCCCTGTAGCCGTAGGAGGAGGGATATACATTTAACTACAACAACTTTGTAGCACATGTGACAGTTAGAAGTAGGCGTGGTAAACCCCATTTGTTCTGTCTGCCTGCCAGTCTGTTCGTCTATATGAACATCTATAACTTCTGAAGCCTAACAGCTAAGTACACCAACCTTGACAGGCAGACTTGCTTTATGTGTATGTAGTTTAAGTTTATTGCAAATCATATGTAGCATACTCAAGTTAGGTTTAACCGGCGGACCACCTAGACTAAATTGGTCCTTAGTGATACCAGTTATTGAAGGTCAGTTTGGATAGTGATTTAGTAATTATTTTAGTAGAACAATGTTATTGTTTATGAATACATCTTGGGAAAATTTTGCAAAGTTCTTGGAAACAATACCAAAGCAGTTTCTAAAAAAGGAAACTATTTTTAAAATTTCTTTAAGTAAAAAAGAAACAATTTTTAAATTTCTTTAAGAGAAAACCAGTTAAACTTGACACTTTTTCTATAAACTGCTGATTCCAAATTTACTTTTTACAAATGAATTCAGTTTTCTTTTCCGAAAGGTTGACTTTTAGGTAAAGCTTCCTTTCTTTTTTTTTAATTTAACGACTGCTTTGGGGTGGGAGTTTCATCTGTAGGGCATACAGGGGTCGGTGGCGCGCTACTCTGACGTTCCGCTCGTTTTTTGTGAAATTAAACAGCTGTAGAACTTGCAGGCACCTTTTTAATTTTAGCATTGATTTCTTGTTGGCATATTTTATTCATGTCCGGCAATGTAAATGCCGCACATTCATATGTATCTATGTACATACCTATACCTATATATACCCATAAAGGTATCTAGTATATAGGGGCATGTGATTGACAAATTCGGCATTGCTATATCTACATAAATCTGCATCGATTAAAGACAACAAAAGCAAACAGAGACGGTTGTGCGATAAAGAAATTCTACAACAGTTCGTATACGAAATGGGCAATCGTTATCAGAGTTTAGCTGACCACAAACATATATAGGTATATATATACATATATGTATATATGCCTAACTATTCTATCTACACATGTGTAAGTATGTATGTATTTCTGTGCATATGGATTTTTAAGCTCCATCGGACAACTCGTGCTACTGTTTGAAAGATAAAATATAAAGCCCTTTTAGTTTCTATACATAATAATATTTATAGTAACACATACAGTCGATCCTCGATTAGCCGGACCCCTATTAACTGGGAGCAACTACTGAAAAGTTGATGTGTCAATTTTTGTTTCATATAAGTATTTCAATCATTTTATTTGTTTTAAGACTTGTTCATCAAAATTGAAACAAAACTTCGACCAATGAATAATTGAAGGGCTTTATTTTTACTCCATATATTAATTCCTTTTTTTAAATATAGTAGGTTTCCATGTATTCCTGTTAATTTCAAATTCTCGATAAAACAAAACTTATTAATTAAAAATTCGCTCGACTAAAATCAAAAATAAAATAAAAAAAGCCACCGATGATTTGTAAATTATTATACTTTTTGTAAACCAAAGTAGAATATAATACAAACAAGTTTTGTTTTCCAAATGTTTTATTTACACAGTATTCCTAATTTTTTCTGGTCATTCAGATGAAATGTTCATCATTTCAAAATTCAACACTGATTAGAACACTAATTAACCGTATTAAGGAAACCATACTGTACATGTATATGTATGTATATGTACATATGTATATATGTTTGTACTTACGAATTGCACAAGTTTGAGAATGCCCGGCAACGTTTTAAAATATTCAATGTTTATGCGTATGGCGCTGGCGAAGTTGCCATTGCCTGTTGTATTGGGGCCTGGCGGTCCTGTTGTTGTTGTTGTACGCTCGACGGTGACCACTGTCTCGACCATTTTGCTGTTTTTGTTGTGTTGTTGTTGTTGTTGTGGGCGTTGGGGTGTGTGTGTGTGTGTTTGGTGTGTGTGTGAGTATTGAAGAGTTTCTTCTTTTATTTCACAAAAATCTTTTAAAAGCGCTTTTTGTTTTTTTGAAAATAAAAAACTATTTTTAAAATTTGTTCACAATGCGTCGTCGCGGTTGTCACATTAAAAAAAAGAGAAAAAACAGCAACAATTTAATGAAAATCTACAAGATATCGCTGTGTATATATGTATGTATCTATCTATCTATGTACATACACACATATGTATATATATACAAATCTAAGTTTGTATGTATGTATGCATATGTATATGTATGTATGTATATGGCGCGCGATATGTATAACAACAAGAACAATAACACAAAACACAAGCAAAGCGCTGTGGTTTTAAATTTAAATCATATAACAAGCAATATAGTTGACTCGTCCGTCCGTTCGCCGCCTGCAGTTAACAATAAATGAAACTTAAATCAAAAAATAAGCTAAAACGAGAACGAACACCGACGACTACTTTTCTCCGGCGCTCTGCTATGTCCACAACGAACGAGACGCGTCTAACGACTGACAACTGCGCCAGGTCTGCTGCCGGCTGCGCGCAAGCGACTTGTATTTGGCAACTTGTATAACGGTTAACTCGAAGCACACACTCACACACACTCGCAAATACTGCGGTTAGTCTGCGCGTGGAGCAAGGGAGCACACATACATACACACATAGATAAACAAGAATGGAATGCTAGAGGCAAGCACGCCCGACTCTTTAAAACCCTCTAACCACTTCTAACAACTACTGAATGAAATCAATTTTAAGAATATCATTGGTTTTTTTTTTTAATTAATACTTTTTTTTTACTATAAACGAGAATGCAATGCTGGACATTTAAAATCTTCAATTAAGATATACAAATATTGTTTTGTTTTTATTAATGGACTTATAAATGTGCTACTGTGGGCATTGAGTAAAATATTTTATTCTTTTCTATATTTATTTTACTGTTATCATTACAATAGCTTACATTAATGTGTTTTATGAAAACAAGACCGAAATCACTTTTTTTGTTTATTGATATAGTTTCATGATAAAACTAAGTAAAAATACAAATAAAACAACAACAAAATAAATTGCGTCGAATGAAAATAATTAAGCAGAAATATAAATGTCTCAAACACAGAGAATGCTTTTTGATTTTATTATTTTTTTCGTCAGCAATTATGGGCTGTCGATATAGTTCAATATAAAATTTTGATATACCAAATATTGATAATATTTTTCTGCATCAAACTGCCTTAAGTTTCTTGAGGAGACAAAACCAATTCTATTGGATAATTGGATTTGGATACAAATTTTGTAAAATTACGAGAGCTATGAAGAAACATAAATAGTGTTAAGGGGTCTGTTCCACCTCTTTCTACCTGCTGCATGTTAGTTATGCTCACCTAACTAGTATACTCTTTTACAGAGTATTAACACTGGCAGCACATACACTTAAATGCTCTCTCGCTCTTTCTCACAGTCTCCACCTGCGTGTGCCTCCCCGCATAGAACATCGGTCATACGTAGAGCTGTATCGTGATTGTAGACAACGCATTTCACTGTATGTGTGTGTGCGTCCCACGCTACGCTGCACACGCAGCTAAGGGGTCGCTGCCGCTGCTGCTGCTAGCGCTGACGCAGGCGCAAATGACGCCTTCACTGTAAAAAAAACTCGTTTCGCTACCACTGCCGGCGTCTGCGCAAGCGCGCTGCATTCCAGCAACTATGCTCTGCCTCTGCTGCTGCAGCGTGCAGTAAATGTTGCCCACATACAGAAAAGAAGCAAGCCACATAGATAAATACATAGATAAATAGAGTGGTGAGGAGCTGGAGGGGCACTTAGTATATGAAACCAGGCGGAGTGTCTGCCCGATAAGACAAATATGATGATAGCGTTCAATTCAATTGATAGTAGGTAGGTTCATCGAAATGGCTATTGTATAATAGAATTTTATTTAAACGTTGATTTACTTATTTATAACATTTATTTTAAATGAGTTCGTATGAAGTAATAAATTTGCTGGACGCATAAAATTTTATCTCTGATTGGGCTTTCAATTTTGACGATCTTTTAAGAAATTTATGAAAACGTTTTTAGAATACAATCTTTTTTGTATTTATAAGTTTTTGATGTAGTTATATTTTCTTTGTAAAATGTTGTAATTTGGTAATATTTATTGCTTAGTTTTATTAAAATCGCCGAACTGTATCATATAGCTACCATAGGAGCGAAAACTTAAATTATGAAGTTTTATGAAATTCTTGTAGTATTTTTGATTTTTCCTCAAAATCAGCTTACTACTTATGTATATCATACTATATTGCTGTTATAGAAGTGATTGTTACAACAAAGTTCATTTTAGAGTTAATTGGCTTAGCTTGAAACATAATTCAGCAACAAAATATTTTTCTGAAATATCCTCTGTAATTTATATTCCTTGACAAGCTAGGAATAAGATTTTTGGATAGAAAAGTTGCAAATAATTGGCGAGCCCGATTAGCTAAGAGCTTAGCTAATTAAACGAGCCTGTGTGCATATTATTGGGAGTGACTGTATATGTACATATGTATATAGTGTACTAAGTTACAAGACAACTCAGCGGGCGACAAATCGGTTGCAGTTGGCTGACGATTTTCTGCCCACCTACATACATATGTGTAAAAGTATTTATGTCTAGAGCTGGCGTTCTGAATCGACTTTTATGGCAGACGAATGGGTTGATGTGGGCAGTTATTGTTATTGTTGTAATACACAGAAAACAGCATCGCACGCACTCTATACTCTACATATATGTATGTATATTTGCAGTACTCGATTTCAGAGAGACTACAAATTACTTATTGTAAAATACTTATTGTTCAAAACTTTTAAAAATTATAGAAATTTTTAGTACAGTATGTGAGTTTTATTGTAATTCTTTACCATAAGTATATAGAGTCCACTAATTTCTTGAATGTAGCCCCATCTATTTTTGAATATAGTATTAAGGTCCGGAATCAACGCGGGTCACTAATAATGCAATGTGGATATAATGTCTATTAAAAACCATGACATTTGTCAGCTAACCATAAGATTTCAGAGTGTATCCTGAGCAATCTGCCATCATTTCAAAAATAAATGATTTTAACTTAAGATATTCTTTCGAAATAGTTTATTCAGTTTACTGCGACTTTTTCCTAAAGCAACCACCGATATATATTTTATAAAAATCATTTTATTCAAAAATAATTCGAATGCTGATGCGAATTTCTTTTGGTTCCACTTAGACAAACACAAAACTTTTGAAATCCCATGTTTCGAATACTTTTTAATCTTTCGAATTTTCGCCAACATCATTAAAAATAGACACTACCTTGAGTATAGCTTTTTGTTATCTTGCTTTAATTTTGTACATATGTATGTATGTTCGATTGCAGGCGGTCTTTGTCGGTTTCTTATCGATATCAATATACACGACTTTCAAAATTGAAACAACCATCCAGAAGGTGCCAATCAAAAACTGGTTCCCCTCAATAGGAGCGAATGAAGTGGCTAAAAATTAAGATTGTACGACATACGTGTATAACTGTTTTCAATATTTATTATCAATATCTACCCTTAAATTGGACTTAATCGAACTCTAAAATTAAGTTCATCTTTCAAATTAGTTGGAAAGTTAATATATCTTTTAAACATATATATAAGAAAATCGTATTGTACTAGCCCTTTGAAAACATTATTTCAAATCCGATTATAACATTTTTCAAATTAAGAAATCGCCCTCTACCGACACAATTTTAAGCATCAATTCGATCGATATTTAATGTATTTGAATCACATTAATTGATATATTGATTAATTGAATACTTACGAATACATACATACATTAAGAACAAAACCCTTTTCTGCGCTTCTCATAGTAGCCTCTTGGGCGAAAACAGCTTCAGAAACAATAGTTTGAATAATTTTTTGAGCCAATCTTTTAAGATTAAAATGAAAAACACAGCGCTTGAGCAGCGCTGCAGCAGCAAATATATTTATGGCTATAACTTCTTGTTAAATCGGTCTATTATAGTGAAACGTGGCATAGGCACACATAATTACTAACTGGGAGTATTTGCAAAATTTTAGTTCGAAATTCCAAGGACGGACAGACAGGGCTAGATCGACTCGTCTCGTCATGCTGAACAAGAATATGGGGTCTGCCACGCCTCCTTCTGCCTGTTACATTTTTGAGCTCCCGCAAACTTAATATACTTCTGTACATTTCATGTACAGAGTATAAAAAGAAATAAAAACACATATGTTCAATCGATTTTGTCAAATTACATTTACTATTGTATAATTTTAAGGGGTTTTTGTAAACATACCACAAATAATTAAGCCAAATATTAATTAGTACGAGAGTATTTCGAGCTGACATGTAAAAATACTGCGTATAAGGACACGTCATATACATAAACATATACATATAAAGAAGCGTTTTAAAGCTTAACAATTGGTATCTGGTTCGGCTTTCTGCTTTGCCTCAATGGCGAGCTCGACAAGCGGGGCCACCTGCTGGAGTCGCAGCTGGGGCGGGGGCGTGGCTGGTCGCTGCTGTGGCTGCTGTTGTGGTTGTGACATTGTTTCCACAGGTGAGGGCGTCGAGGCGGGTGTGATCGGCGAGGCGGGTGTAATGGGTGTGGCGGGTGTGGTGGTTGTTGCAGATATGGGAGATGATACTTGTGGGACTACTGTTGTGGATGGTGAGGGTAGTGGCGACGATGTGGGGGATGGTTGAGAAATCTGTGGCCGCGCCAATTCCTCAGCGCTGGCGAAGAGGGCGGACAAATCAAGGGGCCAGCGGGCGACAGTTTTAGGGCTTGCGGATGGAAACACAGATGGTGTGGCACGAGCTGGCTGTAGACAATTAGAGGACGCTGCGATCGCGGCAGCCGATGTGGAGGCAATATCGTCTGTCGGTTTGGGTGCATCGGTAGCCAACTGTTCGTTGGCAGCTTTCTCGCATTGCCGTTTCTTCTCCTGCTCCGCTATCTTCTTCAAATAGCTCTTGTCCTGCGTCGGGCACTCCAGATGGACACAATGGAAAATCTGTATATGAGACTAGTTAAACGTTATCCGTTCAATGGGCAAAAATATAATTCAATCAGCGAACCAAACGGCAAACTCACCTCGTTGGCCGTATTCCGTGTGCCGACAATGCGTATGAAGACGACAGGGCGTGGGGCGAAGTGAAAGTTTTGCCAGGAGCGGGCCTTCTCGTTACGCTTGTCAACAACCATTTGCCAATCTTTGCGATTCGTCGACGTCTCAATATAGAAGCTATAGGTGCGATCGTCGCAGTCCCACAACAACAGGCGCATTGATCCCACATAATAGGGCTGACCCAAACGCACAACAATCTCTCCGCTGCCCAGTTGATGGCATGTATAGCCCGAATCCCAATCGTAGCGCACATAATCGCCATTAATGAGTGCGTTGCGTGTACGACTGACGCCGTCGGTGACAATGGCGCTCATCTCAATCGTCGCTACATTGGCTTTGGGTGCAACAAAATCATCGACCAGATCGGGCACATTAGCCGTATGCATCGCCTCTAGACCAACAACGTGAAAGACCTGCAAAAAAAGTGCTTAATGAGCAGCCTAGCTAGCCAAAGAAAGACAACGTCTACCTACCCTATTGACTGTATTTTGTGTGCCCACCAGTTTTATGTAACGCACTGGACGAGCGGCAAAGTAGAGATATTGCCAGGAGCGGCAATGAAACTCACTGTAGTCAACCACACGCTCCCAATACTGCTGATTGCCAGATACCTCGACAAAGTAGGAATAGGCGCGACTATCACGATCCCACAACAATATCCTTATGTGATTAATCATGCACATGGTGCCCAGTTCGACCACAATACCGACATCGTTCTTATCTGTAATGCAGTGGCGGGTATAGCCGCGTTCCATGTCGTAAGTGCTGACGTCGCCGTCCAACAAGACTGTACGGCACTCTCCCTGAATGCAACGTGATAAGTATTTGGCGGTGGCCACATTTTCCTCAGGCCAGAGAGCGGCCCGATAGGGCAGCGTTTTCATGGTGCTGCGCTCATCAATCGCATCTAATATTTTGTCTGGTTCGAGTATGCCAGAAGGCCGCACCACCTGCAACAAATGCTCCAAATTCATGAGCGGCAGCCGCACATACGACACCACAGATTTGATGTCTATGCTAGGATTGTAGCGACTCCATTTCCACACAGCTAGAAAGATTTGCACCTCGGGCGCGAAAAAGCAGTCCCGACGCAGCACCTCCTCAAGTGATTCCTGCAATCATAAAAAAATAAAAAATAAAAAAAGCTTAATAAAGTTACCTAAAATGTTGCCATAGTCAACTCACCTTGGATAGCATTTTAAAGGAGTCGTGTTGCAACAAATCCACTGCATTACGATCCATAAACATCAGGCAAACATGCGTGAGTTCTTCCAAATTATATAGACGTGCCGCATCCAGAATCATGCAGACATTATTGAGAGCTAAGTAGCGACGCAAGTATTTCGATATGGCCATCTCCAGATCCTGAAAACCGTATTGATTGGCCATGCCGAGCACATCGATGACCGCATCCTCATCGAGTGACGCCAGCGATAGGGTACCCGAGTAAATATAACGCAAGAGCACTTTAAAAAGTTCCAGCGGCACTTCCAGCGGTATTTGGCGTTGTGTGGTCTCTGACATGCCACCGTAAAGCAGAGCCCGAAAATATTCACTGCGTGCCGCTAAAATGACGCGATGCGCCGGCAATCGATGCTGTTCGACAATAAACTCCACATCGGCATACCTTTCGTTCAGGCAGAGACGCGCCATATCTGCTGAGAAGCGATCACCCAAATCGATTTCATCCGTCAGCTCCGGGTCCTTTGCGCCTTTGGTGGTCGGTTGCAACATTGATAGACCACCGCCGCAAGCACCCGTTTGCATTTTGTGATGCCCCTGGCTGCTCATTTTCCGGAAACTCTCCGTTCTGGTTGCGATTGTGTGTGCAATTTGTGCTACTTTAAATACAGAAATAACAACAACAAATGATTAACTAATGAGACGGCAAACTTCTAGAATGTGAGGTAACAGCCACAATCCTATCCGTCAAACCAAAACCATTAGCATTAGCTCACCTACCGTTTGAATTTGCTTTCTTTTTATCTCTATCAGTCTGCCAACAATTTAGAATTCCTCCATTTTGTTTCACAGCAAAATTTTTAAGCCGGATAGTAATGAAAACTCCGCCTCATATATAGAAATATTACGGCTATCGCTCTTTGCGTCGCAAAACAATTGCAATCAGTTCAGTGGAACCAGTTTATTCGAATTCAATGAGACTGATTCTGTACATGTACTTTATTTGCCCTACAATAAATTCCAAATAGTCTTATAATTAAGTTAATAAGAGTGACCAAATCTAAAATTTTTTTTCATCTACTGCTATAACGCCTGGGTTATTAATACATTATATATATTTATATTTCATGTATTTAGCTGCATAGGTAGTGACTTAGTTTATAAGAACTGAACTAGTTGCACAACTCAGCCATCACCAAGTTGTTCACACTTTTTAGCGGTGCTGCCAAATAATTTATAAGTGCTGCCATTTTCGGTATTTGCCATTTATCTGCGTTTTTCTCTGCACACCGATTTGTACACACTAACGCTAACTCTTTTCGTCGTACGGGTATCACTCTGCTAAACTCGTGGCGTAAATTATATTGCATTTTCGCTTTATAATTGTTAAACAAAACAAGGTTAATCACCATAAATTAAATCTGCTAAGCCTATTATTAAAGTTTTGATTGGATTTACAGATGCCAGGTGTTGAAACAATCAAGTCCTCTTGGGCAGATGAGGTGGAGCTCGATTACGGCGGCCTGCCGCCGACAACGGAAACCGTGGAGAATGGCCACAAATACGTCACCGAATATAAATATAATAAGGACGATAAGAAAACAAAGGTGGTGCGCACCTATAAAATCTCCAAGCAGGTGGTGCCCAAGACAGTGGCTAAGCGACGTACGTGGACCAAATTCGGTGAGTCAAAGAATGACAAACCCGGTCCCAATTCTCAAACGACAATGGTATCTGAGGAGATCTTCATGCAATTCCTGAACTCCAAGGAGGACGAGAAGGCCAACGATCCACTGCTTGATCCGACCAAAAATATTGCCAAGTGCCGCATTTGCAACGGCGAGCATTGGTCGGTCAACTGTCCATACAAAGGCACCGCCATGGACACGAACCTTATGGAGAAAAAGGCTGCAGCAGCAGCCTCGGCCGCTGTCGATGCACCCAAATCGGGAAAATATGTGCCACCGTTCCTCAAGGACAGCCAAAAGGGTGGCATGGGCATGCGCGGGCGCGATGACACTGCAGCTATTCGCATCTCCAACTTGTCGGAGTCAATGACGGAGGCAGATCTTGAGGAGCTGGTTAAAAAGATTGGACCCCAGAGCAAGATGTATTTGGCACGCGACAAGAACACCGGCCTTTGCAAAGGATTTGCGTACGTGCACTTTAAGCAACGCAAGGATGCTGCCGCCGCTATTGAAATATTGAACGGTCATGGTTACGATCATTTAATTTTAAGTGTGGAGTGGTCAAAACCACAAAACAATTGAAATTAAAATATTCAGCTGTTGGACACGGGCAAGGGCGAGAAGCGAACGAACGAACGAGCGCTCAAACGCTACTTATCTTCTTGATTGCCACAATTGTAAAATCAGAGACAGCCTGTGGTTTAAGTTGATAGTTTAATCGTATCTAAGCTAATGGTTTGCTAAGAGTAAAATATAATAAAAACGAAAAATAAATACTGCTTTTTGCAATGTACTTTCCATTCAATAACGTTGCCAGTACACGCGACGCTTCTTTCGTCTTTATTTACTCGCATTTATGCAGGTTGGCAACACTGCGTCTGACGAAAACAAATTTCGTTTGCAAAAACAACACTCTACATGTAGACATGTGTATGTAGTTGTTGCCGTTATTATTGTTTTTCTTTGACGCCGACGTAAATTGTGTTTTTGCATCTAAAAATAGAGGCCGCAAACATTCAAATTTGAATTCTAAACAGAACATTCGCAATAATAACTTGAGGTGCGCTCATTTGATTTTTTCATAGTGGCCAGGCGAGCCCTTCCAATCGCAACACAAACAGTTTTTGCGTTCGTGCGACAGAGTCAGCATATGACAACGTACCGTTGCAAACGGAAATGCAATCGCCTACGAATTCCTCCCCCCCGCAACCAAAGTCAAAAGAGTGCGGATCGGCAGCGGTAAAACGCGGTACCCGTATCCTTACTGAGAAGCCGTTTGCCTTTGTGCTTAAATCCAAATACCGGCTTGAGCGTTGCGACAACTGCCTGGAGGTGTAAGTATAGAGATAAGAATAGAGCTCGAAATTTGTATTGAATCATATTTTTGGCGATAGAGCGAAGGTGTTGAAGTGCTCGAACTGCCGCTATGTTTCCTATTGTAATCGCGCCTGCCAAACGCAAGCTTGGGGCCTGCATAAGCACGAGTGTCCGTTCCTTAAAAAGGCCCTCCCACGCATCGTGCCCGATGCTGCTCGCATGCTGTGTCGCCTTATCCTGCGACTGGAACATGGTGGCGATCTCGTGCGTGGCTACTATACGGAGCACGGATCGCGCAAGTTCCGAGACTTAATGTCGCGTAAGTTTCGTACAAATAGTTCGAACAACTAACTATACCTATTCAAAAAATTCCAGATTATGCCGAGATCAAGAACGACCCGAAGCGGATAGAGCATTTAGAGTCGCTGCATGCCGTTCTAACCGATATGATGGGCGATAAGGCCATAGTGCCGAATAAGACGGAACTGATGAGCATCTATGGCCGCGTAAGTGTCGCACCTGCCCGTTTTATAATTAGAAACCAATCAATACGCTGGCGTCAGTTGCTAGCCTTACCCTGCCTGCCTCTCTGTCGGTTTGTTGTGTGGGTGCGGTTGGCCTATTGCCAATGCTCGTGTGACCAATGTTAAAGGGCTTTAAATACTCTTCATTCTTTCTAAACAGCTCATTACCAATGGCTTTAACATATTGGACGCGGAAATGAACAGCATTGCCACTGCCATCTATCTGGGTGTGTCCATTACGGATCATAGTTGCCAGCCGAACGCTGTGGCCACCTTCGAGGGCACCGAGTTACACATTTATGCCATCGAAGACATGCCCTGTTTGGACTGGTCCAAGATTTTCATCAGCTACATTGATCTGCTCAACACACCCGAACAACGACGCCTCGATCTTAAGGAGCACTACTACTTCCTTTGCGTCTGCAGCAAATGCACCGACTCGAAGGAAACACTCGAGATGAATGGCGCCGCCTGTCCAAATAACAAATGCAGCGCTTTTCTCAACATTACCCACAATGTGTGCCGGCGTTGTGGCACCGGCGTCACTCCAAAGCTGCGCAATGCTTACAAAGAGGTCATGACCCTCACCCAAGCCAACTTGGAGTCGATGAAGGAAGTGGCCTGTGCGTCTGTCATTAACTAATAGTCCCTCGACATCTTTAATACAAATACATCTTTCTTTTTCAGATTTCGATGCGTGTCGCGTTTGCTTGGATAAGCAGGCGGGTGTACTGCATCCTTTGAATTTGTGGCACGTCAAGACATTGGATGCGGCATTCGAGGCCGCCATCGAAATGGGTAAATGGACAGATGCTTTGACTTACGGCCAACAGCTGGTGCCGGGCTTTCGCAAATATTACGGCCCTTGGAATCCATTGCTGGGTCTCCTCTACATGAAGCTGGGCAAGATTCAGTTGTACGAGCGTCTTCCCAAGGAGGCTGTCCATAACCTGGAGGAGGCTCAGCGCATACTCAGTGTGACCCATGGCCGCGAGCATCGCCTCCTGCAGGAGCAGCTCAAACATCTAATGCTGCAGGCCAGACACGAAATGAGAGACAGCTAGACATACATATGTAGTATGTACAGTGTGATAAATCGTTGATTTATTTTTGTTCTTTTTTTGTGTATTTGTGCAAAGTGTTTAAGTGGTGGTCAGACGAATGATTTCGATCACGTCATCTATCCCTAATATTTAGGGCTTTTCCCAGTAACGCAAAACTGCCAAATCAAAGGTACGTGTTAATTGAAGTGCAGACTTCGAGGAATCCATTGATTTGTTAATTGAAGTACACACTAAAGGAAATTCACCGATTGATTACCGACTTACCGACTTTTTTTGGCAACTCTTGCAATCCAAATTATTCTCCTAAACACCACTTAAATTTGTGTTCGAAAACCGAAAAATGTTCTATCAATAAATGTTTCTGTGTTAAAGTTTTAAATAGGGCTTAGTCTTCAACTATGATTAGGTAGAATCTTATTATTTATATTCCAATTTTGCAAAGGATGAGAGGTTAATATAACATTCTTGACTAGGATTGTACGATTTATTAAAAAAGGAAATGGAAGCGTTTCGAGTCGTTATAGCCATGACCGCCATCCTGTCGCTCGCTATGAACACAATCGAACTTGGTATTCAAGGTCCGAAAAATGACGCTGTTAGTGATTTTTCCATAGCTGCCCTAATTTCTGTTTATTCTTGTTCATTATTTAGACCAGTTATACAAAATTTATCCGTATCTTGTTCTTGAGGAGCCAACATAGTTTTCTGATCTCATTAAGGAGCTCTGACATCGGTTTCTACATTTTCAAACCAAACTTTGTATAGAGGTTCCCCTAGCCCTAATAAGAACAAGTATATATATTTAGGATGCACCAATTTTTTTTCATTTCTTTGAACAGCGTATTTAAGAGTTAAGCTCGCTCCATTTTAGCATTCGGTTCTTGTTACAATTTATTATGTTTATTATTTAATTTACGCCGCATACTGTTTTTTTTTTTTTATAATTAAATTAATTTTTAGGTCCTTGTATTAACATAGTTTGGTATATTATCTGACGGGTTAGTGGATGGAGCAGTTAAATGATTTGATTTATCGCCTTGGCGCGACGATCTGAGTCCTGGAAGAGCGCCCTTATAAGGTGCTTTATTTCGTCCGCCTTGAAACTGGCGGTTAAGGGGCCGGCGCCATCACACCATAGCTCGGTAATTTCCTTAAGCGAGGCATTCATCAGAGTCTTGAGTTGCTGCAATTTCATCCAGGAGCGTACATGAACCACTTCGTGATGTTCTTTGAAGAGTTGCGGCGCTTTCTCCAGCACCACATCGATTAGATCGCTTAGCTCGCTGGCCATGGTCGCAGATATATCCCGAAGCGTGAAAATGCGACGCACCAGTTCGCTAATAAAGGTGTGCAACAAATCACAGAACGTGCTGTTGTAGACATTATCAGGCAGGACATTCTGCCACACGTTTTTCAATAGCTCCAGCTGCCGCAGGCATTGACGTACCAATTTAAGGGGTGTGGTGCCCAGCGTGTGTGGATTCTCAAAAACTGTACAGAAAAGAATGATATATATATTTATATAATATACTAAAGTATATTTATAAAGATAGACATACCGAGTCCACTCATTATGTCCATCAATATGGATTCCTGATAGTTAACCTGTACTTTAAAGTATTTGTTGCCCGTTGTGTGAAGCATCTTAACAAGCGCCGCAAAGCATTCGATGCCTTTTTTGGCATTGTTGCTGACCCAATGGGCTAGGAAGTAGCAATTATTGTAGAGCAGCACCGATTGCTGTGGAATGCTTTCGAGCAGCTTTTTGTGTATTTTGGGAACCTCGACAACGTAGGCGTTGAGCATTACGCTTATGGCGCCAGCGAGAGGATTTGATGGCACTTCGGTGTCATCTTTTACATCGGAATTTATGCCTTTTCTCGATGGCGAGCGCACAATTCGTTCCATCAGCTTTACAAAATCCTGAGTACATATAAATCTCAATTAATAACAAACTCCATGTTTTGTGAAAATGTCCGCCTACTTACCATTGTGCTTTTGGACACCATGCAGCGGGGAAATAGAAACGGATCGCCGGTCACGCCGCCGACTACAGTGCGCTCTTCTAAAAGGGTCATGTCTTGCAGGTCCCGTTGCATTATCTCGCGCGCCATCTCGAGCACACGTTTGTACAGTCGATTGCGATAGAAAGTCTCGTATTGCTCTGTGAACTTGGTGAGGGCGTTATCCTTCTCGGGATCGATCAGAAATGTGTCGGCTAAAAACTGTTCGAACTGAACGACGTCCTCGCGCAATGTCGATGTTTGGTAGTCCTCCATGGTTTCCGGCACGGCCGGCACCAAACACTCTGACACAAGCAGCTCCAGCATGCGATCCTTGAAGTGATCGCCGATGAGACTGAAGACGTGCTGTGTGCTGGACACGCTAATATTGATGCTACTCAATGTTTGAAGCAGCTGCTTGAAGTGTTCAAAGACTTGCGTGTAGGTGGGACGCAGAAGCTGGCCAGAGCTGCTCTCCTTGGTGGAGTAGGAGAGCGAAAGCTGGACATAGGTGCCGCCCTCAGCGTTCTCATCGTACTCCACAGAAACGGGCTTCAAGATCAGCGGCTCTATGCAATTATCAAAAAGGAATTCGCACAGCTTGGCGGGATTGTAGTGGGGCTGGAAGAGTGCCAGCACAATGTCCTGTAGCTGTGTCAAATTTTTGCTCAACTGCAGTGTGACACAGCGGGATGTTGGAAAGGACTTGCAATTCAGCTGGACCAGCCGATCAAAGCGCTCCTGCAGATTCTGTTGCAGCAGATGTACTTGAACATGATATTTCACCTTGACGGTGTCGTAACAGTCGAGTTTGTAGAAAATGCGCTCCACTCCTTGCGGCGTCGCCCCATCCTCGCAATAAATGAGATTGCGGAGTTTGCCGACCAAGTCGAGCACTGTCAGATAGTCCTTTGTCGCCTTGGCTTCCTCCACACACTGAAAAAGATCGTCTATCTTCAGAACATGCTGACTGACGCGTAATCCCAGCAGTATTTCGCGCAAATTTAAGCCACAGGTGGTCAGCTTGGTGTTAGCTTCGCTCAAAGCATTTTGACCCTCTTGTCCCACCGTGGCGAGCAGTTCATTAATCTCCCGCTCTAGGGAATCGGACTCCTCAAGGAAGAGATCCGGCGAGGTGTGATTGGGTAAAAAATCTATGTAATTATCTTCAATGTGTCGACGTACACGCTCCTGAAATCGTTCTGTCCGTGTCAACACTTTGGTTGTTGTTGACATAATTCCATCGACAGTCGTGCAGCCAACGCCGTTGGGCTTGAAAACCGTCGCCAAAATCTCGTCTTTTATTGCAGCCATACTGATTGCCGAGCACTTTAGACTCAAATTAACAATTTCTAAATCGTTATCAAATTAACAAACAACGAAAATCAAATCGCCGCTATGGCATCATCTACTTTATGCAGCGCGTCAGCCGATAGCCATCGATACTCGCGATGTTGTTTCTTTTTTTGTGCGTTTGGCCGCACTGTCTGCAAAACATCGATGCATTCAAAATGCCACATTCCTTTGACATTATTTAATGAACGTTTTTATCAAACTTAGCAACTGACATTCTGAAGCAGGCTACCATCTTAAATTTCCCTATTGCAGGCAAGCACAATAAAATAAACTTAAATAAAAACGTCCACAAATATACGCTGCTAAATCACAAACAGAAAACCCGAACAAATGTATGCATCGCGCTGATGTTTTTTTTATTATTATTAAATTGGGTTTCTTACTCAAAAATGCATTTATTACTTTTAACTTAAGTAACTTTTTTGGGGCAATTGTTGTTCAGTGGTGGAAAAGAAGTAGAAAAAAACACCAAGCATCGAGAAAAACATCGATTTTTGAAATCAATTGCAAAACATCGCTATTTTGTCCAGCACTATAGCAGAGGCCAACAAGTTGTAAAATGACGAACGGGCGCCAACATAATTGGATATTTGGGAAGCACCTTTATCTCTTTTGTATCGTCCTATTTAATACACAATTTGCTCACTGTTTGGAGCCATTAACTATTGGTGCGACCGTGGGCCTGGGAGCAATTGGGCTCTCATTTTTTAAACGCCAGACGTATTGCCGGTTTTATGAATGCTGCGATGACGACAGTATACCTGGTAATATAAATGGTAAGTATGGTTCACAGTTTTAAAGTTTTGTGGATTTATGGTAAACTTTAAATAGAGCTTCAGCATAATCTGGAGCGAACGCTGTTTGGTCAACATATTGCAAAGCAGCACATCATTCCGGCTCTGACCGCACATTTTAGCAGCGAAAGCAAGTCAAGAAAGCCGCTCGTTATTAGCTTTCATGGCACACCGGGTACTGGGAAAAACTTTGTGGCAGACCAGATAGCAAATGCTCTCTACAAGGAAGGGGCGAAAAGCAAGTTCGTGCACATATACTTGGGACGCGCAGATTTCCCACAAGCAGAAGACACTGATAAGTACAAGGCGCGCATAAATTACGAAGTGCGGTCAAGCATTCAACAATGTCCACGCTCTCTATTTATTTTCGACGAAGTGGATAAGATGCCAAGTGGCGTGTTTGACACGCTCACATCGCTGGTGGATTACAATGCGTTTGCCGATGGCACAGATAATACGAAGGCCATATTTATATTCCTGTCGAACACGGCTGGTGTTCACATTTCAGATCATCTGGGAAAATTGATGAAAGGCGGAAAGTTGCGAGAGGATACGCGGCTAAGTGACTTTGAGGCTCTGCTGCAGAAGGTCTCTTACAATTTGGATGGTGGTCTAAGAAAGACTAGTCTGATTGAGGCGCATGTTATTGATCATTACATGCCCTTTCTGCCACTGGAGAAATCCCATGTCGTACAGTGCCTGGAGGCCGAGTTTAAGCGTTGGAATCGTGAGCCAAGTCGTGAGACAATCAACGAAATTATTAGCGACTCTATTACATATGATCGGCCACACGGAATGTTTGCGACATCTGGTTGCAAGACGCTCGAGAAGAAGGTAGCCATGGCTGTCATGTCCCCCAGGGCATAAACATGTGATGTAAAACAAAGAATGCTTTATTTTGTTTTTAAAGCATGTTATACTTAAATATTGATAAAGCTACTGCCTTTTACCAAGGGTTCAGCCACTTCAAACGTGCGTCTTTTCTTAGCAAATCTGTATCCAGCCGCTTCGGCTGTTCATCAAATGCATCGCGCGCCGCACTGCGCACTTCAACAGGTCCAATATCTTTTGTTACGAGACACTCGCCGTTCTCCTTAAGTATTGTGTGTTTAACGTCTTGAGCAGTTGGTTCGCCGTAGGGGAACGTAATGGGCGTTACTTGAATCAGATGCTTGATCTTCCACAGCCGCGCATTGTTCTCCGGTATGTTCTTCACAACTGTGAAGTCGCTTTGCTTGCCATCGAGACCCAGATCTTTAAGTAGGCGCTGCTCCCAGTATGGATTGCCTTTCATTGGTTTGATACGCTGCACGCGAAACAGCTTAGCTGGTGTAACAGGCGGATCCTGGTGATCGGGCGTCCTGAAGTGAAGTGTTGAGCATATTTATTAGCAAAAAAGTACAATTCAGTAATTGGGCGAAACTTTACCTTGGGTAGTAAAATATGTTTTCGAATTTCTTGCCATCCTTGTATAAATACTTCTTATTGTGCTTGCCATAGCAGCGTGTCACTTGTGTGGGCAGCTGCAATGGTCTCAGCAGTGCACCCACGTTCATTTTATGTTAAAATAGTAAACAAAAAAGAAACAATTGCAGTGTGACTTTGACGAGCGGTATAGCAGGTTATGTTATGAAAGCGCAACACAGTGTATGCCCATTGCGTAAAACAGGGAAAAACATTAGAATGGGTAGCACTGAACGGCAGTATTTAAATACACAGTGTTGCATGGGAATTTAAAATAATTTTGGCGCCAACAGCATCCCGGAGGATGATAACAACCACCAAAATCGAGAGGCGGTGCCACACATACATGTCGCCATTTTGTCAGCATCTGTATAGCCAGGATTGGCCATCATGTTCTATAACGCTATGCTATTGGTTGTTGGCAGACCAACACAAGGGTGGCAAAATTGTTGGGCTATCTTCGCATATAAATGATGCTGCAACATCCTTAACGTGTGTCAGTGCGACGACAAAGCTTCGCGCGTGCAGCACACAAGCATTTACAAAAAGAAAGTCAACACATCAGATGTAATACCAGCAGTTGTGAAGTGTACCGACAATCCTTAAACGGTTAGTAAGATTAAAATTCACTTTAGATTTAATTTTTTTTCTGGAAGTGATATCGCGTGTGCTTCAAAATTGTTTGCTTTTCTCGCTATATAAGGTATTACAAAAATATGATTTAATGTCAGCAACTGATAATCTTTGATTAACTACCGATATTTGAAAACACACACACACATGTACTTTAATAATTTCATTTTAAAAACCTATCACAAATAAAATAGACGAGCTGCAAAGCAGATGTGGCCGTCCTCCCTTGGGCAAATAATCAGTGTACGTGCCATGTTTATAGAGCTTCACATCTAAATACATATATGAAATGTTGCGAATAAACAATAAATAGAAAAAGTGCAATAAAAACAAATGAAAATAATAATAATAAGGAATGCAAACAGCATAAAGGACACACGACCCAACACAAAAGACGACAAAAGGGGTGAGAGCGACGGCATGGGCGGGTTACGGGTTGAGGGTCACCCTTTTAGACGCGTGCACACACAAATGAACCATAAATAAGCGCAACTCCTTGATTTTGTTGAGTGTGGGGGGACAAATTTAGCAAATCCTTGTAACCACAACATTCTTGTTCTCGTGCAGGGCGCAGGAGAGCCGCAGGACAACAATATGGTCTACGATATTACACATCTGGCGCCCGCGCCGCCACAAAGCATTTCCCTAAGTCGCTATTACCTGCAGCAGGATGCGCCCGATCACGAACATGATCTGGCGGCGGCGAACAATGCTTTAGCCAATGGCGGACATGCTGTCGAGGAATATGGGGCCAGCACGACATTGGATATTGATAAGCGTTTTCAGGCGCGAATGGCCTGCGAGACGGCCGCACAGCCAGCCCCGCCGCCACCACCAACTCCAGCACCGAGACGTCGCACCACACCCATTGCCCATCTAGATCCCTCGGAGCTGGTGGGCTTGTCGCGCGAGGAGCGACGCCGCAGGCGGCGCGCCACCCTCAAATATCGCACCGCTCATGCGACCCGCGAACGCATCCGCGTCGAGGCATTTAACGTCTCCTTTGCGGAACTCCGAAAACTGCTGCCCACTCTGCCGCCGGACAAGAAGCTCTCCAAAATCGAAATTCTCAAGCTAGCCATATGCTATATAGCATATCTGAATCATGTGCTCGAGACGCCCTGAGACGTGCCCAATTAGGCCAAAACTATTTTTTTTTTAAAGCCAATATTAGCAACTAAAGTAGTCTTTAATATAAATAATATGGATTTTTTTTGTGTATCGAGCGAGTGTGTGTGCTTAGCATTTAAGTCGTGATATTTGTTTATATCCAAATCCAGCAATAAATAATTAATATATCACTAAGCGGGCCTCTTCACTCGTTGTTTACGATTCTACATTTAGAGAAACAAGAAGCACTTCTAATGCTTCTACAGTTAAGAGCGTTTTCTTCTCAAGTGCCTAAATTTAGATGAATAGACCCATTTTATTTTTTGCAAAAATCTTAGCTTACATTTATAATATTTTATTTTCTATGCACTTGAGAATTTCTGCCAAGTGTAGAAACAAATGCTTTCTTTTGATATGAAATCGTCGAAAATATAAATAATACATCAATTCTATAACCGATATGTCTTCTGTTCAACATTTTACATATTTACAATTTTTGGGCTTCATATTAATAAGCAACATTTAACCACAAAATATCAAATGTTATGTTTTTTTTTTCTCAGTGTAGGCTTGCTCTGGTGCCCAGCTGCCAGTCCCGGCTCTTTCATTTGCTTTGCCACTTTATGGCAACCAGCCAGCTGCGTCCAACAGCCTCCAGCTTCTAGTGCCTGCTTCTGGCGACTCAGCCCCCTCTCCGCAAAATTTCCTGTCATCCACTTGGGGGGTTGTTTGTATTCAAAAGTTCCACGGTTCGGTTTGGCAACGCCCCACAAAAACGTTCGACTGGGTTGTGGTGGGGCGATGGAGGGGCGGAGGGGCGGAGCTTTTTAACATAGTAGCCCCGAAAATTCAGAGCAATAGCAGACCTAATGTTCAAATATCCCAAAATTACTCGTAGGTGTTACAAAAATTTCGTTTTGGTTTCATAAATAGTTCCAAATCACTCACCATTGAACGTCAGTCTCAGCCTCAGAACCAGATCAACATGTCGTATCATTTTAGCGCCCTGCAGGTGAGTCCAAAACACTACCAGGATGTAGACTGGACTGGACTGTCTGACTGGGGAATGGCTGCTAGCGGCCTAGTTTCAAGCAATTTTGTGGGCGGCATCGTCAAGCCCCTTGGTACCGGTGTCACGGGTAACCGTAAACCGTAAACAGCCTGGCCCCAATGTATACTATTAATAGCGCAGTTGTCGAAACTTGCACCCACAATACATTCCAGAAAGTACCGCCAGGCGACAAGCTATAGCTTTAAGAAGCTTCTTTAGTAAGGGAAGTAACAAACTTGGTTAGTTGTTAAGTTTTCGCCGTGTATTCCTATAACCTATATGATATAGTGTATCGATTTGATGGAAACTTCAGAAAGAGTGAAGAGTTATGACAAGCAACTCATATATATGTACATCAAAAATTTGGCTAAAAATCTTCATAACAATAGTTATTTTTCCAAAAAATGATCTGTTCGCCGATCCTTCCTATGACAGCTATATAAAATAGTGATAGCTTATATGATTAGAAATAAACTAAGTATGTATATGAACAATACAAGTCTGCATGCCAAGTTTGGTGGCCGCAGTTGTTATGGTTTTAAAGTTTTCGAGGCTCATACAGACAGACGGATGAACAAACAAACGGACCGAACGTAAAGATGGTCAAGTCTATGGCATGTATGTATAACTATAACTTCTGCCGAATTATACGAGTATGTGTTTATTTCGAACATGCACATAATTGGCTAACACAGGCTTTGAACAAACTTAGTAGGAATACAAAAATACCTTCTCATATTTATAAAAACGCGTTTGAAGATAAACCGTAAAAAAACTAAAAATGAATAATTATTATAATTAATAAAAGCTTACTGAAATGAAAGATATTGGAAGCTTTTATAATAAAACCTCAGATGAAAGTTTTTTAAAATTAAAATAGATGTTTGGTTAGAAATCACATTTTTTGATTATACGTTTATATCTGAAACCTGTTTTTAATCGCATAACCCTTTAAGCGAAAATGGGTAAAAAAAAGGAAAGTCTAGAAGAGAAGTATTTTCATACCTTTAAGTCGATTTATTATAAGGAATAAAAAGAACAGCCCAAGTTTAAGGCAAGAAGAAGAAGGCAAGCTCTCTGAATTCAACTGTTGATCTATTTGTCGGGTGGCCTGTTTCCCAGTTGATGACGTATTAGGCCCCCATTCCCCATGCTAAGGCTGCCAATTCCCATGCATATGGGAAATAGCGACAGTTAAGTTTATTTACTTGGTAACGGGGACCCCAACTGCCGCACTTCCCGCTGGCCAGAGGGCGACCATTGCCACGCAACTCGTTTACAATAATAACGGAATTTCTTCACTCACCACCACATACCACTAAAGTGATTTTTGCAAACGGGACCAAACGGGCTTCTCCCAAAAATTTCGGTGCCTGATAAAGCAGCCTCCAAAGGTGACCTCCAAAAGAAAAGAAAGAAAACAACATCCGGGAAAACGGACGCAGAGCTGGTTGCCGTATCAGTGTCAGCTCAGTCTGAATTGGAAATGTATAGCTAATAAAATAAATAATTGTTATTGGTAGGTCGCGGCTGTGAAAATTGAGTGCAAGCTAGCAAGCGGGTCCTTCCTGAAGGCGATTGCAGTCCTGGATAGTGGCAACGTAGCGTGAAATTAGCTTAAGTGTCAATTGAAGTAAGTGGAAATGGAATTGTCCGTAGAGGTGGAGATGGATGTGGATGTGGTAGGTGGACTGATGTTGAAGTTGGAGTTGAAGTCGGACAGTTGGTTGCAACTTGTGCACGTGCACTACTCGCCTGCCTAGCTTTTTGACTGTTTAATCCTCAGAGCGACACAAAGGACATGTGATAAATTGCACCCCAGAGGGTTGGCATAAAAATCATCGCTCGCTGGAATGACACGGCATGGGGTAACCTGAATTATATGTGCTTACTGCTGGTTCCAGCACACAGCAGTTATCTCTACACCACTCCATCCCTGTCCTGTTGTCCTCCTGCTCTTTTGTTATCTCTGGCTTTAAACGCCTCTTCGTCTCTCTTTTGTTGCTAATTGAGTTTAAAATCAATTTGTATATTACGCGCTTGACAAGTGGCAGTGGTCTCAGTCGTGTCAGTGTTCAGCTGTTTCGATTTCCGGAAACATCATTGATGGCTTGCCTCGATCACCAGAGAGATGCGTATCTCTATACGATTATGTGTGTTGTGTAATTGCCGTGTAAATTTAATTACACTAGCAACGGCTAACCTCCCCCCCCCCCCCATTCCTGTTGGTGTTGATGTGATGCTGTAACCACTACCGCCTCAGCACGCGACTTAGGCACGTGCCTGTGTGGCCCTGCCAGGGGGATGGGACACACCATGAAGTGTTCAATCAAGTTGTTGACAAGTTGGTGGGCGCTGCGTATCAAATTACCGAGCAATTTGCATTTGTTAATTGAAATTGTCCTCCTGAGCTCCGCAAGCAATTGAAGTGGCCGTGGGAAGCGACTTGGGGGTCATCAACATATATGGAGACAGGCAGCACTAGCCTACTGAAGACATAAGGGGCCTTAGGAAATAGGAGGCAGTCTGGTGAGCCAAAACTTTGGGATAACATTATGTTAAGTTGCTGGAGGCCTAAAATTCGAAATAAGAGTCAACCAATTACTCTCCCGAATTTCTGAACCCTTGAAAGTAGAGCTTCCGAGACCAACTTTGGGTTAACACTAGTTTAGTTTCTGGAAGCCATACGAAAGGTCTTACGAGAATTCTAAAAGTCCAAATAAGAGTCAACCAATTACTCTCCCGAATTTCTAAACCTTTCAAAGTGGATCTCCGAAACTAACTTTGGGTTAACACTATGTTTAGTTAATGGAGGCCATTTCTAGAATTCTAAAATTCAAAATAAGAGTCAACCAATTACTCTCCTCAATTTCGCAACCCTTGAAAGTGGAGCTTAAGACTCCAATATTCATAGGAGGACTTCAAATCAACAACCAATTGCCCTCCTGAGGTCTCCGAGCTATCCACTTTGAAATGGAAAGCATCCTAGGGATCCAAGATGAAGGCATAGTTAGTCTCCCCATCACCTCTAGACTACTAGAGGCAGTTTTCAAAAATAAGAGCCAGCTGCAAAGTTGATAAATGATTTGGACACTGGCTTGGCTTCTGTGAAGCAAGTTTTGCACCGGCTGGCCGGACTTTTTAAAAAGGCAAACACGGCATTAAGTGGTATTAGGCTAAATGCTTTTTTACACATGTTCCAACACAGAGATTACGGCGTGTAATTGCCGCTCCTGCTGCTGCAGTTTAGGGGTTGCTAGTGTGGGGTGGTAGTGTGCTGGCGGGATGGTGGGCTGCAGCTGAGGAGGGTTCTCTCTACTTTTTATCAATTGGTTTGTTTGACGCCCATAAATAACAGCATTACCCATTTGACACGAGCATATTCGCACATACAAACACAAACACAGAAATATCCACACGGGAGTTTGAAGAGGATGAGGCTAAATTTTAACAGGTGGCTGCCCCCCTAACTACTTATATACTCTTTGATTCCATCGCCTGCAGTTCGAGGATCGTTTTCGTCCAAAGGGCCTGAGGAACTGGGAGTTTCCGCGCACTTACCCGCCCCGGCCACGGGACCGTCGCCCGAACGTGACATTCATTGCCGATAACAACGGACGGTTGCTGCCCCACGCCCGTCGGTAAGTTCCTAATACATGATATATATACAATATTTCCACTCTCAAATATTTTTATGTGGAAAATAGAAATATTTCCACTCTCATATATTTTTATGTGGAAAATAGAAATATTTCCACTCTCAAATATTTTTATGTGAAAAATAGAAACAAAGGTAGACCAACTCAGAGTGGACACTTAATAGATAATAAAAGTGTTACTGCTTTTCCTTTGAAGTTTCAGAATCTATTGATTCTGTTAGCTACTATCTATATTCTATCATAAGGCACTATCAGCACTATTGGAATAGAGAGTCGAGAGAATTTTGCACCATTTGAGGCAATTCGCGAAAGGAGTTTAAAACTTTGTAAGGGGAATCACCTAGATCTTTAATGTAAGCTGACGGAATTATATTATTCTAAGCGTCATTAGCGATGAGCTGTAGATTTCACTCGTGGGTGAACAAAGAAGATGGGTTAAGGGATATTATGAAGTCCTTAACGGCGCTTTAATGAGGGCTATTTTATTATGGCAAGAATGTTTAGGCTCTATAGGTGTAGGACGAAATATTTTGAGATTAAAAGCAACACTTTAGTGGGGACTATTGATAAGGGTAGGGCTGGGGACTAATTAAATCAAAAGCCACACACCAATCAGCATTTTCCTGGGATAGCAAGTGTCCATAGGGTCTGGGATCGAGATATTATAAAATCACAAGCTTTATCCTAATAATGGCTGTTGCAGGGACAAGAATCCGTTCGGCTTTTACCGCACCACCTACGAGTTGCCGTTGCGCATCACGCACAGCTTCGTTAAGTTCTACGATGTCTGTCTGAGCGGGCGCTACAAATTTCGGCACTTTCCACGCGATCTGTGCCATTGCGAGAACAAGAAGAGACTGCACCCGTGCGACCAGCACGACACGGTTGGCGTCAAGGAAGACCCCTATTGGGCCACGCCGAAGGGATGCCAAACAAAGTGTGAGGGGCTTAAGAAATTAGTTGCCGCCCAAAAGCGCAGTTGTCGCTGTTACCATCGCAAGTGCGACGCACCAACGGTATGTCCAATTTCTTCTTCCTACTCCCCATTCGCACCTTCAACCTCACCACGCACTGATCCCCCTACTACCTATATCGCAGCCGCGGGATAGCGTGTCCGAGGAACGTATATCCCTGCCTCCGAATACGGTAATAGAGGTGATTGATGAGAAGGATATCGAGCGCAAACGGCCAATAACGGCCTTCAACTACAGACGCAAGCCGCGGCATAACTAAGGATTCGGTTAAGGATTAAGGTTAAATGAAGAGCCAGGCTGACACTATCGCACTATGCACCCAGTAGTTACTTTTATATGCCACTCATCATCCAAATACTTGATCCCTCTCATCCATTGCATTCCGAATCATTAACAACAACATCATCATCATCATCATCATTACCAATCATCTACCTCCGACCGTTCCGATTGCTCAAGATAATTGATTGTATCCAACCATGTCACAATTAGCCGCCACCAGCAGCTACAAGCCGCCAGATTTGACGTATACACCCGGCGATCTCACCGAGCCAAAGTACCGTCTACCCTCGCATCAGCTGCTTCTGGACGAGAAGCGGGATCGAGACAATGGCGTGGAACGCGAACTGCCCTTGAATCGTCTCTACCTCGGCGATCACGAGTGCCCGGCCCCAAATAAGTACCGTAGTGCGGCAGAGGCTGCTAGAGAAGTCAATTCGGCGGCGGGACGACAGTTTCCGGCCTTGGCTGCTGCCCAAGCCCGCTACGCCGGTCATTTGGACACCAGCAGCGATATTGTAGATCTAGCGCCATTGCCCTCAACCGTCGGCTTTGGGACGGGCAAGGAGCTGACCTCAGTGGTGCCCACACTGCCGCCTGTGGTGACGGTGCCAGACTACTCAGCCGATCCGGATCTAATCAAGAAAATGCCATTGCATTCCATAACCGAGAAGCCAAACGAGCGCTGCCCCTCCCCGGTGGTGCCAGCTTACGCCAACTTCGAGCTGGCCAAGCGTATGCATCAAGATAATCTGGACCACCAGCCTCTGCCCGATTGTGTTGCAGATCTCGCCTTTCGGAAAGCTCAAATTAGCGGCGGCCATGGGGGACTCGCGCTCGACATCGATCCCATTGCGACTGGCGTTGGCGTAAAGACGCACAATGCCGGTCCGACGCACTGCACCAAGTTGCGGGTGTACCGTCCCAAGACTGGTGGAGGTGTGGTGCCAAAGGCCTATGTGGGCGATACGTTTCGTGGAATTGGCTCGGCACCTACCAAAAAAATGGGACCCATGGATCTGGCCATCTGCTGGGACTACAAGCCCGCCAATCCCACAGATGAGCCACGACCCAGTAGACACATCGACGGCTCCAATGAGTCGGCTGGACCGGCCGTCTTCACCTGCGTTAAGACGCCACGCGAGGAGAACATGGGCGATCTGGGACGTTCTGCCGGCATCTTTACCAATACGCTAGGCGAGGCCGACTTCTTCGACAAGGACATACTGCGTCGCAAGACCGACTTTGGTGGACGGCATATTGAACGCGAGAACAATTGTGCCTGCGATTATGGACCACCGCCTCCAAGAGCTCGCAGCGTATCCCGAGACTCAAGCGCCTCCCACTGTCGGCGCGGAATTGGCAGCGGGGGTGGAGGCGGAGGCGGAGGTGTAGGTGTAGGTGGTTGTGGCATGCCCAATCGGTTGGCCAAACAATATCAATCCTCACCCATGCTTACCGATAAAACATATCAAGCACTGCGGGAGAAGTATTTGGGACCCGATACCGGCACAGGTGGCTGCGATGGCGGCGCACTACTGGACCACGGCTGCCGTCCGGCGGGGCCGGCATGCAAACGCGACGCATTGTCGCTGCTACGGCGGCCGACCCGCCGTCTTTGCCATAAGGTGGCGCCGGCGCCGGCACAGAAATGCTGTCAGACATCCCCATTTTCTCACTGTATGACCAGTAAGGCGGCTTTTCGGGTCGGTGTGCCAAAGCACAATGCCGTCGGCGATTTTGTGGGCGCGAATGATGCCTGTGGCGCCAGTGGCAGTCGCGTTCTGGTGGTGCCACGCCCCCGCAACCCCTACTCAAAGAAAAACTACGACATCGACACCCTAGTGCCCCCTTTCCGCAGTCAAGGAGGCGGTGCCGGCCAAGGTGGCTATCCAGAGCACTGGCGCCTAGCCAGCGTCTATCAGCACGCCTACAAGCCGATGGAGCAACGCCGCCGGCCACTGCTGCAGACCGTTTACAAGTGAAGTACATCCGAGCTCTAATTTCAAAAATATCCATCAGCACTCACTCTGTATACACAAGCCCTCACAATCACTCCAGACTTTAAAGAAATTATAATTTTTAGATTTTAACAAGTTGGCCAATTACTCTCCATTCCAGGAACAGAAGGCTAGTTTTGGGTGCTAATTGCCCGAATAGGTTGAAAAGAAATGGCCGATATTTAATTATGCCTGGAAAGTGAAATAAAATCAGAAATATTTAGATTTTAAATTTCCCTGAAAAGGGCAACAAATTGAGAAATATTTAGACGGGCCGACATTTAAATATTTCGGAAATGGAAAATAGTTCTGAAATATTCAGACATTGAACAATTCGGTCGATATTTAAATATTCATGGAAAGTAAAAGAAGCTCTGAAACATTCAGATTTTGCTGGTTGCTAAAATAAATTCAGAAATACGTATACTATTTAGAAGAAATTAGCCGATATTTAGATATTCCTGGGAAAGGAAAGAACATTTTCTTGATATTTCTGCAAATTCATAGAAATTCAATATTATTTTTGAGAATAAAAAAGAAGAACCACTCATACTCAGACTCTGGGAAATTGCAAGTTATATTTAGAGTTCATGACAGAAATATTCCGATATTTAGCTATTAAGATATGCCTGTAAAGTGAACGAAATCAAAAGTAATTCGGAAATATTCAGTCGTTTTTTGTACATCTCTTAGGGCTTGTCCAGCTTGAGTTTTCACACTAAAAGGAAATTGTTGAAAGTCTATTTTAGAACTAGAAGTTGTTAATTTGCACAACAAGCACGAACTGAAATGTTACACTCAAAGAAATGCAAACGTTCTAAAACGAAAAAACCCTTAAGAATAAGGAAATGATAATTAAGTTAAGAAAATTCTTTTAAAATTAGAAAAGCGACAAAAATCACAAAAATTAGCAATTGAAATTGAAATCCATTCGATTGGAAAACAAAATTTCTAAATATGTGTTCATTTTGCTGTTAAGCGGAAAACTTTATTAAGATGGTATTTTTCTTACATCTAATTACTCTTATAATTCCGTAGTGGGTTTTCTGGTAATGTGCACTCAGGAAAATGTTGTTTTAGGTTATACAAAATCTCCCTTTATTATTCTTTATTTGAGAGATTACAGCCCCCATTCCTCATTCCAGTGCTAGAAAATACTTTCTTCTCCAATTTATTAAACCGAAAAATAAAGACATGTCCGTTCGTCTGTTTGACCATGGAAACAAATCTTGGTAGGACTAGTATTATAGAAAATATTTCTAATCTTACCTACTTCCCTTATACTTATACTGGTTTTCAGAAGGAAATTAACTCAAAAGTAGGGAAGTTTTCTACATTTAAAAAAATTATTAGTTTGTTTTTGAGAATAAAATATATTTTTTTTGGTTTTAATGTACATTCGTTTTAAAATTATTATTGTATTACCCTAATTATATTCTAAATCTATAAACATCTCTATTTTGTGCTGCGATTGGGAAATAAAATAAAACTACCCCAACAAGACAGCTTCGTTGTTAGATATTGTTGTTAATTTTGTAGGAATTGGTAGTTTTTAATTTCAAAATTTTCCAGCGACAGTCTAGTTTTGCGACACAAATAAAACCAAATTATATAAATCATTGATTGAAAATTTGACTTTATTTTGTAAATCCTCTTTAAACAAATAAAAAAGAAGCAATTTAAAATATACATAAAATATATTTTTAGAGAACATCCATGCCGTCCATTCTCGGTTTTTCTTCAACAATTTATAGAAAAACATAATTGTAGAAGCATAATTCATATACAAGTACATACTGTATAAACATTTTTTTTTTAATAAACTAGCAAAAAAATGTGCATAAAAAGTGCAAAAATATTAACCATATAGGGGGTAAAAAAAATCTTAAATAATTAAATCCTAATAAATATATATTTTGTGGTGCGCTTTGAAGTCAATCTTTGGGTGCAGTATGGGGCTATGATTAGGTGATGCGAAATCGGCAGATGGTGTGAGGAATTCTGCTCAAGAACTTCTATTTATTTGGCCGTGGCATAGTCCTGGCTTTTGTGAAAGACGTGGCGGAGGGCGCGTGTCGAGTGCCGAATGCTGTTTCGTAGTGTGTGCTTCTTCTCGTTGGTAAGATGCTCGATGGGCATATATTCAGTCTCTGGCAGGTTGGAACGCAGCTTCATGGTGCGCTCGCTGACATCTATGATGGATATATCTGCCGGTTTCGACTCCTCAGTCGCAACCGCACTTTTGTGGGTGCGTCGCCTCAGGCTGTGACGTATGCTGCTCATAATGTTGTGAGAATGCTTCTCAGGCGAGCTTTTGTGCTGTTCTTCAACTGGGTGCGGATGTTGCTGCATTGGATGCATGAGTCGTCGCAGGGATTTGCGTATTATGTGACCGACAGCACGACTGGCACGGGTCTCGCCCGATTTTGTGGACTGGCTGGAGCCGACCGAATGCAGAGATTCCTTGCTGACGGTTCTTAGCTGCTCAATGGAGGCGGCGGCTGGACGATATGCGCGCACAAAGCGTGTGGGTGCCTTAAATTCCAGCTCCTCCTCTTCCGAGTCAGAGGCATAAGCCACATCGGTATTTTCCTCCGTCTCCGTATCCACCGGCTCCTCTTCCTTCGCTGGCTGCACTTCTAAAGCGGCAGCGGGCTCCTGTGGCTTTTCCTCAGGCAGTGACTCCTCCAGCTCCTCTGGCACTTCACTAATTTCCGTCAGCGTTCTTCTGCGTATGCAGATCGTGCGTCGTTCCAGCTCTATATGTTCCTGAGCCGTCTCCAATTGTTGTTTTTCTTCCACCACCAGCACATCTTGGCTCTCCGTCTCCAGCACTACGCCGTTTTTACGCAGCTTCGCTTCATTGATGCTATTCTCGAGTTCGAGCTGATAGCGATCCAACTCCTTGCCAATATCCATTGTAGTTTCCTCACTGATAGCGCCCAGGGAGGAACGATTTGGCGCCATCACGGGCGAGAACACTAGCTTCTCGGCCAAGAGTTTGCTCGGTGTCAATTGTGCCAGTGATAGGCCCTTAAAATCAATGCGGCATCCCAGATTGGGAGCAAAGGGTAAGCCGATCTTTAGGTTCGTTGGCAGCGGATCTTCGGCAAGAGCGGGATTCTCCACACCCGCACGGTTGCAGGCCGCCACAGATGCCTCACTGGGGCGGTGAATTTCGAAAGGATTAAGGGAGGCGGGCGCATCATTTCCACGCACATTGAGGGCCTGGTTGACAAAGCACTTGGAAGGCGTGTTCGTAGTACGTATGACCTAGAAAACAAACAAAGTTTAATTATTGGTTCTATTTGAAGCACCATCTGAGCTCACCTCATACGGATTGAACTGCTTCTCGGGCAGATCGAGATTCAAGCCCTGATTCTCGAAACAGGCATGTTCGCGTTTCTTTTTCTTTTGCGGTTGGCGCACAACCTCAAATGGATTCGTACTTATTTGCGGCTGCTGCTGTTGCTGTTCCTCAGCCTGTAGATCTGCAATTGACTTCACCTCCAAGCACGCAGATTGTGGCAAAAACGGATTGGTGTTTTCCTTTGAAAGACGCCGACGGGCAACCAGCTTTTTTGGCGTCGAGCTAAAGGCAGCATTTGTGAAGCATGACGCGACGGCAGCTGCAACGTTGTTGTTGCCTTCGCTGTCCTTACCAACCACCGCTAAGGGTGGCTGCGGCAGAGTCTCACGTTTGCGTTTGCGCACTGGCGTCGTTATTGTTTCAGCCAATGCGGCAATGCTTTTTGTTTCCAGCATTCTCTGGCAAATAATCAAACCAATTCAATTGCACAATTAATACAAAAACTAATAAATCTAATTAAAAAACACAACACAAGCGATAGACACTCAATGAAAAGAATTGTTCAACAATGCAGTTAAAAATGTACGCAACAGCCAATTGTACGCGGGTTCAGTGGCGCCACCTAGCATGCAACAGTGCTGCCATGAACACACTAAAATGTAAGTGTTGCTCTACACTTTGCAGAAATTATTTTATAAATTCAACATTTTTAAGTTTTTTTGCAATACGGTCACACATAACAGACGCTTACCGGAATTTAAGCCAGACGCGAGGGCAATGTTGAATAGTTAAAAACGCGAACTTTCAAAATGAGCGATGTACTGCAATCCTTGCCGTTTCCGGTATATAATGAAATGGTGCAACCATTCCTGTCTGAGGAGGACGAGGAGCGCGAGCGTCGGCACATTGAGAAAGTGCAGAAGGCCTTCCAGTCCTACAGGTGCTTATTTCTCTAACCCCTCCCACTGATGGGTCCATCATAGTTTTGTGATAAGTGCTAACGCCACCAACCACTACGTCTTTCCGCAATATTTAACAAACAAAAAATATGTGCACAATGATTAAGTCCTATGTTTAATTATTAACATATTGTATGGTACATACATATGTCTATATGTATGTATCTCTGCATTCCATAACAGCAAATACGCGTATCGGCGCCTTAATAGAACGGAGGCATACCTTAACAGTCTGTCAGCTGATGATCAGCAACTGCTCTCCAATTACCGTACACATCTCGACAGCGTCCGCTTCTGCATCGAAAGTAACCAGTCTGTGATCAAAGAGATTTTGCGTGACCTTGTGCTCTACCCCAGTGGCGAGAAGGGTTCGCCATCGCCCACCGATGACTATGAGAACGAGGACATGGAACAAGTGAGTATAAAACATTTTAATTGACTCTTGAGTTTCCAACAAAAACAAGTACCCAAGCCCTGTGTTTTCGTAAAAATACACATTTATTTTAATTACATAGATATTCATATGTTTGCAACATATGTATGTACATATCTTTGCATGTGTATTTTTGTGTATACACACATACGTATATGCCCATATATACATACATGCATACATATGTACATATGTGCTTCTTTGAATCGCCTTAAGCCGTAATTTTATTTCACAATCATTTGCAAGTCCATTCCTGTTTCGGCAAGTTGCCGCAAAGTTCCTGCAATCGCAATACTACGGAACTTAACTATCTCACAAGAAATTCTAATATTATTTTGTTGTGAATACTGTAAATTATTATTTATCCTATGCTGATCCGAACTAAAGCAATAATTAGTTCAATTTTCTAAGCAAACCAAGTATAAATGCAATAGCGATTAGAAGATTTTTTAATAAAACAACAACAACTCTATCAAATATATTTATGTATATAACTTTGTACAGGGTGCGCCATCTTTTATGTCGGTATGTAAACATTGAATATCTTTGAAAATAAACAACCGATTTTCAAGTATGAGATATTTTTATTTAATTTGGTACAATGTACAATTTCTTGAACTGAGGTTTTCAACACTGGTCTACTCAAGTAAATCGGTTCACTAATGACAAAGTTATTCAATATTTACATACCGACATAAAAGATGGCGCACCCTGTACATGTGAAGTGATGCGGTCTGAAAAATTTCTTAGCTTGAATTAAATTGAATATAAAATCTTAAACATTGAAGGTGTTCGTATAAGAACTATATCCGTCATATAGTTATCCAATCCGAAACATTTTATAGATTTAACTAACCTTAATCCAATATCTTTCAAATCAGTTATTTCACTTATAAAAAATTAGTTTTAATTGTGTTATATTTTAACAAATAATATTTTTATACTACATACATACATATGTACATATGTATATGAATTGTGTAATCGTAACTATGTTTGTTTATTACAATGCTATGTCGGATATGTAAATTATCCGGCCATTAGCTTCTATGTACATATGTATATGAATATATTTTCAGACCTTATGATCTGTTGTTAATAAATACTGCTCTATCATTCCTATTTTAAACAGTTTCCCCGAAATTTCATTAAATTATTTATTTATTATTGAAGCGCCAATCTTGCCCTTTCTGGGCGCCCTAATAACAATTTCTCTTGCCATAAGGTAGTGAGAAGTGATTAAAAAGAAATCTGTTTGGAATCAGGGCCCCTACTTGTATAAGCCACAACTTATTGTTATTTATTTTTCTTTATTTCCATTTCTCTGTCGGTTGCCAATTACCAAACCTCTACCACAACACACCTTTTCCAATCGTAACTCTGTACAATGCATGTGTATTATACTACTATATAATCTCTATATATACATATATATATATATATATATACATATGTATATATATGTGTGTGTGAATATTTTGACTAAAACGAACCGCCCTAACAGAAAGTTGTTGTTGGTGACAATGATGATGATGAAGTTGTTGAACATATCAAAATTTTAAAGGCCCAGTCAACATTGAAGGTGATTGCGCGCGATTGGAGCGCTGATGGCGCCCTAGAGCGCGAACAGTCCTACAAACCCATAATAGATGCCATCGAGGAATACTACAATCCCAGCGAATAGTAAGTAAAAACCTGTCTTCAAACTATACTAACGATTTTCAATACTTTTCCTAATTTGAAAAATTAAAATAAAACAATTTTCTTCGATTTACACAGCAATTTGAATGAGATCAAGATTCTAGTGCCAGGTGCTGGCCTAGGTCGCCTTACCTACGAACTAGCCTGTCGGGGTTACGCCTGTGAAGGGAACGAGTTCTCCTACTTTATGCTAATTGCTGCCAACTTTGTGCTGAATCTGTAAGTGCTGAACAGAAATATTTTGTTTATTGAACTTGGGTATATTCTACTCGTTTATATTTTCAGCTGCGATTATGAGAACAAATATGTTCTATATCCGTGGGTGCATCAGTATGTAAATAATAAGCATCGGGCCGATCAGGTGGCAGCCGTACGTTTTCCGGACGTCTGCCCGGTACTGAATCCGCCCAAAGGCCACATCGAGATGGCTGCCGGTGACTTTCTAGAGGTCTATAAGACATCAAATACGTACAATTGTGTGGCCACATGCTTCTTCATCGACTGTGCCAATAATGTAATCGATTTCATACGCACCATTTATAAGTAAGTAACGGAAAACTGCTCTAATTTTTGAATAAACTTATCTATCTTTGCAGAATTCTCGTCCCCGGTGGCATTTGGGTGAATCTCGGACCCCTGCTGTATCATTACAGCGATTTAAGCGATCAGAATAGCATCGAACCAACCTACGAGGATTTGGTTATTATTATGGAGAGCATTGGCTTTGATATTCTAAAAGCGCGCACGGGCTTGCGCACCAAATACGCACAGAATCCGAAATCGATGAAGCAAAGCGAATACGAGAGTCTCTTCTGGTTGTGCAGGAAGCCAACGAAGTTCGAGAACGAGCAAGCGACACGTCGTCGCAATAGTGCCTCCCAACAGGAGCCAACCGATCTTATTGTGAATCAGGATCAGCAGCAGGAACAGAAGAGCGACATGGTGCCGCAATTACTGGAAGACAATCACTTTGAGACTGAAGAAGAGAAGACGAAGCAAGCGTCTGATTTGCAAATGTGATACACACATACACATATACACTGACAAACATGTAAATATGAAAACACACACATATATCTATATGTATATATGTATATTACCAGCCCACCACCCATTTACCATCCCAGACGCAATTCTTGCCAAATGATTCGAGTGCTAGATTCCACAGGACGATTAGTTTAGTTATCGACTAAGTTCGATAAAGATAAACCAAATATTGAGTACATTATTTAGTTAATAAAAAACATTACTCCCATTTATTATTTGCATTGATTCTCCCAAATGCCGGCAGCAATCTGACTATCCCCTCCTCCATAGCTTCGCCAGCAATCCAACCTCCATTTATTTTGATGCTTTCCATCGAAATGTCGTGACTTCAGTTCCGCGTATATCTTCTCGAAGTGCTGACCCAAACGCATACTCTCTCCGATCAAATCAAACCAGGCGGCCTCGCTAAAGTCGTTGCTAAGACACATATGTTGGCGTGTGGCGCTGAAGACGCGCTCCCGAAACTTGCGGACGATATCGCTGAGGCTGGCATGATAGGTGGTCGCCTCATTGTTGTGCACCTCTGGCATATAAAAGCTATTCACACGCTTAACATCGCCACGTCCGCGATAAATGGGCAGGCCAGTGTTGCCATATAGCCGGTGGAGCTGATTCTCCAGGCGTTCCCGCTGCACCGGCTCGAAGTCCTGACGTTGGGCATGCGTGCGCACAAATATCACATGTGGCAGAAAATTTTTTAGATAGTTTTTGCCAATGGCGCGTGGCCGAAGACGCACTGCTGCGTAAACCAGACGCACCTGCTCCATGCTAATCTCATCAAAGGCTATTACGAGCACGTGACAGAGACTGATTAGCTGCGCCATTGTGGCCACGGATTGTGTGTCCAGATATTCCGCCTCCTTGGCGCCCACGCTGCCCAGAAACGGTGCCGTGTCAATTAGCACCATACGTTCCTTCGTAATAAAAAACTGTGTGGTTTCCGTGCGCGGTCGCAGCACATTCTTTGTGGATTTGCATTTGTGTCGGGTCGGAAATATGCAGGCATCGGCATTAGGACCAAATAAATGCTCATAGTAGTCGTAGTCACTCGCTCGCTCGGTGGTCAATAAATTCAGCAGCGAGGACTTGCCAACGCACTGGGCACCCAAGACGCCAACGACTGTGAAATCCGTGTTCGTCTTGTGAAACATTTTCCGTGCATTGGCATTGAAGATGCCACTGGAAACAACTATTGGCATCGGTCGGGTCATGCGCGGTACTGTCTCCACAGGCGTTGTACTGGCTGCGACACCATCTGTCCTATCTTTGCTGCTGCTTGTTGCTGTTGTGGAGCCGCAGACGCCACTGCCAGATTGGACGGAGGTGGATTGACTGCGTTCGCAGCTGCTGCGGCTATCGGTGCGACCGGCGATTATAGTTTTGGCCGCATATGGCAGCTCCTGGTTATTGCTACTACTGCTCGTACTGGTACTGCCGCTGTTACCCACATCCTGCTCCTTTTTAAGCAATATTTTTGGCTGCACGTTGGCGCGTGAATCTTCGCGGCGTGCAATAGTGACAGGAGTCGGTTGTGCCTCCTCCTATTATTTGGGGATATTCTTAACACTGTCATCTAACATTTTAAGCCTGAACTTACCGCGTTCTTTTTGTTGTTATTATTTCGAAAACGTCTGCGCCGATCTGCCATGGTGTGATTATAATAAGAATACCTTTCCTTTTGTTTACATTTCACTAGCCTCGAAGCAGCATTGGCAGCACTGCGCAAACTATCGATTATTGGTTATCGATAGTGGTGCGTCGTGAGAGGTGACTTAATATCGAAATGTGCATTTAATTTTTGTTTTTAATAGCTACTTTCTACTTTCTAGCTACTTTCCAAAACGCAACAACCATGTTCTCAGGGTTCATTTAGCTTATAATAGCGATGGCCAAAACGATAGTCACGGAAACCTTTGATAGTTTACGAAAAAGTAATTTTTAAACACTGGAGCCACGCGCTGAATTGACTTTATTTATCGATACAGTGGAGTGCTTTGTGGTTAATATAAACAATTGCCCAAGCTTGAGTAGAATTATCCGCCTAAATTGATTAGAATGCCAATTGTGGTGGTCACCGGGCTGCCAGCGAGTGGCAAATCGACGCGAGCTCTAGAGCTGCGCGATTACTTTCTCACCAGAGAGAAAAACGTGCATCTGATTAGTGAGAACGAGGCTGTGCCGAAGGCATTGTTTGAGAAGAATGCGTACTTCAGCGATTCGCAAAAGGAGAAGATTGTGCGAAGTGATCTGAAGTCGGAGGCATCGCGACAACTAAACAAGGAGGATGTGGTTATCTTAGATGCAGGCAATTACATAAAAGGTTCGCTGCCTTTCGAAAATATTAAGAGAGTAAACTTGTAACTCAAACATAATTCAGGTTATCGCTATGAATTGTTTTGCTTGACGAAGGCGGCACGCACCACACAATGTACACTCTTCTGCTGCCTGCCCATGGAACAGGCGTGGACATTCAACACAAAACGGCAGGATCCCGATGTTGTGAGTGAGAGTGCGACAGAGGATACATTGAATCTGCCCAACAACTCAAATGTGCCGTACACCCGTGAGGTTTTTGACGCGCTCTGCATGCGCTACGAAGAACCGTCTAGCAACAATCGCTGGGATAGCCCGCTGGTTGTCCTAATGCCAGAGGACAGCCTCGACAAGGAGGCCATTTACAATGCGTTGTATGAGACGAAGCCATTGCCACCCAACCAGAGCACTCAGAATGTATGAAACCTTAGTTCATCTATTGATACGCAACCGGCTTAGTTTGCACACTTTTTTATTGCAGCCCCCGCTGGGTGCCACCAACTACCTCTTTGAGCTGGACACCATAATGCAGGAGATCATTAAGGAAATCCTTGGTGCTGTAAAGATCGGCGCCTTTGGCCAGTTACGCATCAAAGGCAGCACAAATACAGTCAAAGTCACGACGACGATGAATGCGCTTCAGCTGAATCGTTTGCGTCAAAAATTCATAACCAGCACCTGCAGAGCCAGCCAGACGACACCCACAAAATTGGAGCATGTGCCGCAATTATTTGTACAATTCATTAATGCCAACACTACGGGTTGTTAAATTTATGCGACTGGGAAGAGCTTGCTATGGTTAATTTAATAATTTTTTTCGTTAGAATATTACATTAAATGTGTAAATATTTGTACTTTATAGAATTTTTAAAGAACATGTGCTCAGCAATTTACATTTTCAAATTTGTTATTATGCATTAAATTTATTAAAACCACACACAACATATCCGAATAATCTGTTGGCATATCTATGTATGTTTTGTATGTGTATTTTCTCTTTGTATCCTCGCCCGCTTGGCTTTTTTTGCAGCGCTGCCAACTTTTTAGAAGGAGATTGAAATAAAGCTAGGAAAGCGTAAAAACAGCTACATTCTTTTTTACAAAATATGTGCTAAAGGTTGTTATTATAATCTTGTTCAACATTTTAAATGATATTCGTATGCACCTTCAAGGTAGTGCGAAATTTGCTGAAGTGGTTGCTGTATGGTTCTAAATGCATTTTTCAAAAGCCAAAATTTCTGCTTCCCGCAATTTGGTTTTAAAAACAACCTGATTTGGCGGGAAAAAGCCAAATTGGCAACACTGTTCTTATGTCTCTACAATACCGACATAAATCAGCTGATTTCTTGCCTATAAATATCGATACATCGCCGAAAATCCTCAATCGTCTGCTGTTCCTTGTAGCGTACGCGTGGTATGTGGGAGTGGTTTTATTTTAATTTACATATGCACATATTTTCTTTTTTGTTTATAAATTATCTCTCCATTGGAATTTTTTAATGTAATTTTTTTTTTTACTAGCTTTGCGGTTCGAAAGTGGCTTAGAAATAACATCCTTTATATTCCTTAATATTCTATTAAACATTTTTTCTACATTACATTATTTTTCAACTTTATGTTTTGCTTGAAATATGTCAGTAGCTGGGACAACAAAATTTTATTATAGCCTGTATTTTATTATTTATAATATTCTTAAATAAATATTGTTTTTTTTTTTTGACTTTGTTCTCCACCAAATATTCGTATGTACATAAGTAGCTGGGGCAAACAAAATTTTTTATTTTTATATTTAATATAAATAAATATAATTTTACCTCATAGGTTCTCCATTGGGTTTTGCTCTAGGCTTTTTGAAAAACCCGGAAATCCAAGATAAACGCAAATGTTTTGGCTGTCCCTATTTAGGCTCTTTCCTAGCTTAAAAGTTATTATTATATTGTTTCCTTATGGCTACAGTCAATGTTTGTTGACATAAAATATAAAAATTATAATAAAAAACAATATGAGTTTTATTTGGTTGTTTAATGGAATCAAATTAATTGGGGTGGCCAAATTATTTAACTCGGGAAAGATTCCCAGCCTTATAATGAAATAGCTTCGGGTCATACTTTATGAAAAATTGTGTTGGAAGAATTTTGTGAAGCTTTTTTCGTCGATTAACTAATAATTACGCGAACACTAAATAGTGTTCGTTGTACATACATACATGTGCAGGCAGAGAGTATCCCATAGTCGTAAAGCTTCATGATACACATATGTTTGTACATGCATATGTACATACACACATACGAGTGCACACTTATATTCAAATACACATTATAGATAAACATTAAAAAAAAAAATAATAATAGCACGCACGACTTTTGATAAGCTGATATTTAAAGCTATTAGGCTAATATCGCGTATTTTCAAGATTTATTCACACACTTACCGAATATTTGGAAGTTCTTTTCATGATGGTTCCTCTTACAGCACAGCACAACAACAGCAACAACAACAACAACGAGCCCTTCAAGTGAATGAACTTTTCTCTTATTGTTTTTGTTTTTCCGCATGGTTCATTTATGCCACACACCGTCATTGGCCGTTTCTCTTAAGCGCGAGCGTGCGGTCTCTCTCTCACACCGCCACCACCAGTCTTACTCTTTGGCGGCCTTCTCTTCTCTCTGCCGCACGCTCGCTGCAGCTGACGTTTCTGCTTTGCGCCTTGCGCCTTGCTTACCATTCACAGTCTTTACTTGCTGCGAGTTTGTCGCGCGCCCGGGAAGCGCGCATCAAACGATATTTATTGTGTTGTTGTTGGTTTTTGTTGTTTTTTTTTCGTTGTTTGTTAATATTCCGCTGCAACCGAAATTGAAAAAAATACAAGAATATAAAATGTGCAACGCCGGCGCCCAAGCACGTTCGGCCAATATTTACGGCGACGCATAGTGTTTCCATCTACATATCTACTACTGCTTTTTTTTCGTTGTTGTTGACATGTGTGGCAGAATATTAAATTAATTTTAACACAAATTTAAAAGAGCAATGAATAAAAATTAAAGGGCCGAGGCGCCAGCACAGAAATAACGGCACACGCCGGCCGGCCTATGCACATTTGGATATTAGCAAGGACGGCGTCGTGCGCTGCCACTGCCGCTGATGCTGCCGCTGTTTGCGCTCTGCCCCCTCCAGCAACAAAAACGAACTCAACTACATATATACAACATACATACATATGTAGATATGTAGTTGTTGTTTACCAACCATTTCCCCTATAGTTATATTTTTTTCTATTTTTTTCGGTTGTTTACCTTTTGTTGCAGATTTGCGCAAATAAAGTGCGAGAAGAAATGTGACAAAACGCAAAAGCTACTGATATACATAATACACATATACATACCTATAAATAAATATATGTGTGTTAATGCTTACATATATGTTTGTACTAGAAGAAAAGAAGAAATGTCAAAGGCCATGCCCAGTGCAAGGCGAAGAGAGAGCGACGGAAGAAAGTGTTAAAGTGCAAAAGTGTAAATATGAAATGATCGCTGTATGTGAGACATACATACATATGTATATACAACATACGCAACTACGCCATAGCCTAGGATATATTCGTATATATACATATATACTTGCATACATATGTAAAAAGTTAAGCGATTTCATCGATACCCCTCAATGTGTTCACACGCCCCCTCCCCCCATAATAAGTGCAACAATCTATCACAATTGTTAATCAAATATGATGCAAAATATTTATCGTACATACAACATACATATATATAAAAAATAATCTACATGGTATGTAATATTTACATACACACATACATACATATGTATATACATATATACATATATATATATATATATATATATATATATATATATATATATATAGAGAGAGAGAGAGAGAGAGAGAAGTGCGTATAACTTATAAATAGTGAAAGTATTTCAAATTCAAATTCTATCTTAACGACCAAATGCAATACATACATACATACATATATACATATACATATATATGTACATAGTAATCTAAAAATCTGCATACAACACACCAACACAGCGACACGCACACACATACACGCATATATTTGTTGCGTGGGTATTTGTATTATCAACAGCTGCTGCTGCATCTTGAATCAAAACACAACGTCCGTGTAAAGTGTGCAAAAAAGAAGAGAGAGAGAGAGAGAGAGCGCGAGAAAGAGGGAGAGAGAAAATAATAAACAACTTACAACATCAAGTGGAGTGCAGTGCTTTTAAGTGAAGTGTAAAACAATTAAACATAACAAAACAAAATACAAATCTATACAAATTTCACATAAAAAACAAATGAAAACAAAACAAAAATAAAACAAATCGTCCACCGCCACTTCTAATATTTTGGTCGAAGCATGGATTTGCATTTGAAATCGTCATCAACAATAACAACAATCGGACTAACAACAACAACAACTATAGTACCAACTGCAACGGTGCGCTAGCATTGGGGATACTGAGGAGAGCAGCCCACAAACATGCCACCGCTGCAAGGACATCGCCAGCTTATGTAAGTGAAATGGAATGGGTGGGGATGGGATGGGCATGAAATGAGTGGCAATCCTACGGAATGGGATGGGATAGAATTGAGTTGAATAGTGGCCGGCAAATTGAACGCTTAACAAAACTGTTAGTTCAAGAATTTGTCTAGTGGAGGGGAGGGCAGGAGTAAGCCCAACAATGCAAGCTTTATCGGACAATTGATACTAGAGTTGTGCCGGAACTAGTACAAAGGAGTTTAGTCTCTCAAATGGAACTAATGAATAAATCAACCATTTATATAAAAATATCTGTACGAATATTATTTGAACTGATATTGAAACGCAGCTTTGAAAAGCGGAGTATAGTACGAAACAAAATCACACCTTGAACTAATCTAATAATTTCAAATTAAAGCAACTTTCCAATTCAATCTATTTCCAATCGGAATGCAATTCCAACAATTTTATTTGTGTATATGTATATATTTCATTTATTTATGAACTAGTTTTTTTAGACTAACTAAATGCATTTGTTCTGGCACGACCCTCTACAACCAATTGTCCAATGAAGCTCACTCTCAATTTGGACCATTGCCGGAACTAGTTCAACGGAATTTTGTTCCTCTTATAAAAATTGTTCAAAATTTAAACATGTGTTCAAAATGATCACAATTAACTCAATTCATAGGCAATGTTATGTGTCTCCAGCTTATGCAATCTTCGTAGTTCAACACGCGAACAGAGTTCTTAGTCTAATGATTTTAGATAAATGCACTTATGTATCTGAGAATGAATTATAAAATTGTAGGTAACTTACCACTTCACCCATTGGGCTACAAATATAACTTACTAAATAATCCATAAAAGTATAATGAGAATGGAGTCAAACGCATTCGGTAAATAAATTTTTTTTGTAATATTATTTTATGACTAAAAATGAAGAGCATAATTAATAATTGTACATTTGTTCATGAGAACTTAAAAGGTTAGCCATAGAAAGCATATTGAAAAGTACATTCGGAAATGCAAGGAGACATGATCTGCCTACAAATTTAGGACTCTGAAATAGAGTCTTTCAATTCGACTATTTCGATGCTTCAACTTCATAATTGAATGCATCCTAAGTTATATCACTTTTTTAAAACCACAGAAAGAATTTAATGAAACAATCAAATTTACCGTTTTTACCCTTAAAGCAATGTATAAAAAAGTTATCTATTTTATTGCATTCATTTGCGAAAAATAAAACGTACATACTTAGGTGTCGCTTCACCCTTTAATTACGCATCAAATGTTGTTGAAATTGCATTAAAGAACTTAGAACTAGTTTACAAAATTGAACTTAAATTATGCACAACTCATTTTGGTAGTGGCAGTTGGCGTGGTTCGTTGGCCTGGCCGACATCGGCATCTCTGTTTATGAATGA